ACAGCAGCAGCAGCAGCAGGAAAAGTTGCCTCCGCATTTCTTTGCTGCTGATGCGGTTACAGCAGCAGACAGTTGCTGCTGCTGCAGCAACGCACAGCAGCTGAAGTAATCTTTTTTTTCGCTTAACAATCAATTAAAGTCCACTATGGAATTAGGGTTTAGGGTTTAGGGTGTAGATTTAGGGTTTAGGGTTATTCTTAGGGTTTAGGTTTAAAGGTGATATGCACAGTCTAGGGTTTACGATTAGGGATTAGGGTTTCATCTAGGGTTTAGGGTTTAGAGTGTGGGTTTAAAGATGAGGGGTTTGAATTAGGGTTTAGGGTTTAGAATTAGGGTTTAGGGTTTAGAGTTAGGGTTGAGGGTTTAGGGTTTAGGGTTCTAGCGTATCTTGTTAGCAGGGCGTCTCCTTCTTTGTGTTTTCTTTGGGGTTTTAGGGCTTAGGGTTTAGGGTTTAGGGTTTAGGGTTTGTTGCGGAGAGGTTTGTTGTCTGTCTCTGTCTCCTGTTTGTTGCTGCTTTATTTCTTTACTTTGTCTCTCTTTGTTATTCTTTTATCTTTACTTTTTCGTCTCTTATCTCTGTTGCTCTACGCCTCTTCTTTTACGTTTGTTTGTATTTGTTTGCTTTTTCTTTTGTTTGTATGTCTTGGTTTAGGGTTTAGGGTTTAGGGTTTGGGTGTCTCTGTCTTTGTCTTTGTTTTTCTTTTTTAATCTCTTTATTTTTCTGTCTGTTTTTGTCTTTCTGTCTCTTTTTTGTTGTTTGTCTTTGTCTGTCTCTATCTCTGTCTCCGTCTCTGTCTCTTCTTATCTCTTTTTTCTTGTTTTTGTTTGTCTCTCTGTCTCTGTCTCTGTCTCTTTATCTGTCTCTTTCTGTCTCCTGTCTCTTTATTTGTTTGTTTATGTCTCTGTCTCTGTCTCTCTGTTGTCTCTCTATGTCTTTACTTATTTGTCTCTGTCTTTATTTATTTGTAGTTGTATTTATTTATTTATTCATCTGTCTATATTTATTTATATTTATTTATTTATTTTATTTATTTATTTATCTGTCTTTATATCTCTATGTCTCTGTCTCTGTCTCCTTCTGTCTCTTTATTTATCTCTTTCTGCTTCTCAGCTTTTATTTGCTTTTTTTATTATTTATTTATTTACTTTTATGTTGGCTGTTTGTTTTGTTTGTCTTTTTTCTTCTCCCTCCCCCTTTAAAACCCCCCCAGCAGCAGCAGCAGCAGCAGCAGCAGCAGCAGCAAGCCACCTTTACGGCCTTGTAGCAAGCTCCGCCTGGGCTGCCTATCTTGCTGCTGCTGCTGCAGTTGTCTCTGTTGCTGTTGCTGTTTCATTGCTGCTGCTCTGTCGTAATTTGCTGCTGTTGCGGGTCCTCCCGCTACTGCAGCTCTTGCTGCTACTGCTGCTGCTACTGCTGCTGCTGCGTTGCTGCTTTACGGCAGCTGCGGCAGCGGGTCTCTGCTAAGCTGTCTCCAGCTGATGAGCAGCAGCAGCAGCAGCTGCGATATTCCCACCAGACCAACCAGCAGCCACAAGCCAGCAACAAACGAACCTATAAAACAAAAACACAAACTGCTGCTGCTGCTGCTACTCGTGCGGCTGCTGCTGCTGCTACTCGTGCTGTTGCTGCTGCTGATTTTCAATACTACTGCTACGCTAATACTACTGCTACGCTTGTGAGTGTGGCTCTGCTCCTCGCACTGCGTTGCTGCTGCTAGGGTTTAAGTTTATGCATACATATGAATACCAGCTAGGGTTTAGGGTTTAGGGTTTAGGGTTTAGGGTTTACCCGTTCTTGTCGCTAGAAAACCAAAGAGAGAGTCCACACAGCCTACAGCGAGACTCTTCAGAGCCTCAACAGCAGCAAATGCAACGCCAAACGCAGCAGGCCTGTTGCTGCACGCAGCAGCAGCAGCAGCAGCAGCAACAGCAGCAGCAACAGTAGCAGCAGGAGCGACAACGGCGGCAGCAGCAACAGCAGCGGCAGCAACAACAGCAACAATGTTAGCAAACAGAAGGGACAGGTCTGTTGCTGCTGTCTCTTTTCTCGATTTGTTTGTGGGTGCCTGCAGCAGTCTCTGCTTTTAATCTTTAATATATTACTAATTAACTGTCTCCTTCTTATCTTTAATAGATTAATAGCTGTCTCCCTCTTATCTTTAATAGATTAATAGCTGTCTCCTTCTTATCTTTAATAGATTAATAGCTGTCTCCTTCATTGTCTTCAATAACTATCTTTGCCCTTTACCTCTAATATACTACTAACTGTCTCCTTTTGTCTTTAATATATTAATATCTGTCTCTTTTCTGCTTCTCTTCTTACCGAAGACAGTCAGCGACAGCAGCAAGCAGCACAGGCGGCATAACTGCTTCTCCTACTCCAAGAAGCAGAGCTGTAGTGACACCCCAAGCTTGACTACCTGCAGCAAAATGTGCTGCATTGCTGCTGCTGCTGCTGCTGATGCTGCTGTTGTTGTTGTTGTTGTTGTTGCTGCTGCTGCTGCTCGTTTTCCGCATTCCAAGAGCCGTCGCTGCAGCAGCAGCAGCAACAGCGCCAGCAGCAGCAGCAGGAGTTGCTGCGGGCTGCTGATGCTGCTGCACCGCTGCGTGTGGATGGTGGTGGTGCTGCAGCAGCAACTTTGGCTGGCAGCAGCACCCTTGGCTGCTGCAGCTGCGGCTGCAAAAGCACCATTTGCTGCTGCTGCTGCTGCTGCTGCTGCTGCAGCGATATCGTCCCTAGAAACGCCAAAGTAGCCAGCATAGTCGCCCCCAGCAGCAGCGGCAGACTCCCCCCAACCCTGTCCACTGCAACAGCTACGAGAGGCAGCAGCAGCACTGTCGTTACTGCAGCAGCAGCAGCAGCAGCAGCAGCACATGGGGCAAGAGATAAGATGGCGATGCAACAAACACAAAGGAGAAAACAAAGCAGCAGCAGAAGCAGCAGCAGCAGCATCAAACGACCAGCAGCAGCAGCAGCATCAAAAGACCAGCAGCAGCAGCAGCAGCAGCAGCAGCAGCAGCAGCAGCATCAAAAGACCACCACCAGCAGCAGCAGCAGCAGGAGCTCACACGTAACAACAGCACCTAAGAATAGGGCTTTGAAGGCAGTGGTGTGATAAACAGAGAAAAAGATAGAAGAAGAGTATCCTATGAAGCAGTGCAGCGCAGCAAGCAGCAGCGCATGCACAACAGCAACAACACAAAACTCTTTATTTAATTCCTTTAAACCCAAAGCTAGGCGGCGCCCAGCCACCAGCAGCGGGGCCCAGCAGCGGTAGCAGCAGCAGCAACAGCAGCGGCAGCGGTGGTGTCTCGTACGCCGCCAAACTCCTGCTGCTGCTCCTGCTGCTGCTGCACGTCCTTCTACCCCGCCCCCCTCTGCTGCTTCTGCTGCTGCTTCTCCTGCTGCTTCTCCTGCTGCTTCTGCTGCTGCTGCATGATACTCTAAGCTGCGACAATCACCACTGCGGGAGAAAACAAAGCAGCAGCAGAAGCAGCAGCAGCAGCATCAAACGACCAGCAGCAGCAGCAGCATCAAAAGACCAGCAGCAGCAGCAGCAGCAGCAGCAGCAGCAGCAGCAGCATCAAAAGACCACCACCAGCAGCAGCAGCAGCAGGAGCTCACACGTAACAACAGCACCTAAGAATAGGGCTTTGAAGGCAGTGGTGTGATAAACAGAGAAAAAGATAGAAGAAGAGTATCCTATGAAGCAGTGCAGCGCAGCAAGCAGCAGCGCATGCACAACAGCAACAACACAAAACTCTTTATTTAATTCCTTTAAACCCAAAGCTAGGCGGCGCCCAGCCACCAGCAGCGGGGCCCAGCAGCGGTAGCAGCAGCAGCAACAGCAGCGGCAGCGGTGGTGTCTCGTACGCCGCCAAACTCCTGCTGCTGCTCCTGCTGCTGCTGCACGTCCTTCTACCCCGCCCCCCTCTGCTGCTTCTGCTGCTGCTTCTCCTGCTGCTTCTCCTGCTGCTTCTGCTGCTGCTGCATGATACTCTAAGCTGCGACAATCACCACTGCGGAATCTCCCACGATGGCGGCTGTCTCGTTGGTGTTGCTGCTGTTGCTGCTGCTGCTGCTGCTGCTCTTGCTGCTGCTGCAGAGCCTCAAGACTCTCCATGCGGCTCTGTAACGAAGAAAATTTGCGCAGCAGCAGCTGCATGGCTGCGCTGTCCTCCGTTGGGAGCGACAGAGAAGAGCGGCTGCAGCTGCTCTCCACTTTGCTCGCTGCTCCTGCTGCTGCTGCTGCTGTTGCTGCTGCTGCTGCTGCTGCTGAAGATATCCCGTCATAAGGGGTAAGATCGAGCGCCTTGACGCTCGCATTGCTGCAAGCAGCAGAAGGAGGGCTCCCTTGGCCGTTGTTGTTGCTGCTGTTGCTGCTACTGATGCTGCTGCTGCTGCTACTGGTGCTGCTGCTGCTGCTGCTGCTGGTGCTGCTGCTGCTCATGTCGCTGAAGACTATTTCTGGTGCAGTAACCCTGTTGTTGTTGCTGTTGTTGCTGCTGCTGTTGTTGTTGCTGCAGGTTGAATCTGAACTGCAGGGACGTTGCGGTGATGTTGTGGCAGCGTCTGCTGCTGCTGCTGCTGCTGCTGCTGCTGCTGCTGCTGCTGCTGCTGCTGCTGTTGTGGATATATGCAGCAGCAGTTTCAGCAGCCAGAGGCAGCAGACTCCCAAGCAGCTTAGCAAGTGTGGTGCCGCAGACAGCAGCAGCCATTGCTGCTGCTGTGCATGAAGGGAATAGAGAAGCAGCTAAAGCGCGCTGCAGCACAACAACAACCCCACCACCGAGTCCTGCTGCTGCTGCTGCTGCTGCTGCTGCCACCAGACTTCCGTGTAAGAAAGCCAAAGCTACGAATAAGTGTGATGCCCATGCTGCAGCAGCAGCAGCAAATAAAGCTTTAGTTACTCCAGTAGGAGAGCTGTATGCAGCAGCAGCAACAGGAGCAGCAGCAAGACCCCCTGCTTCCAGACAGCCTAAAACAAACCCATGTGCAGCTTGACTGTAGCGCAGCTGCTGCAGCTGCAGCAGCAGCAACTCAGCAGCAGCAAGAGCATGTCGAAATAGGTGGGGCCCCACACCTGCTACGCACAGCAGCAGCAAAGAGCCCCAAGGCAGCCCTGCTGCTGCACTGCTGCTGCTGCTTCTCCTGCTGCTCTGCTGGCTCCTCCTCTGTCCGCTGCCGCGGCTGCTGCAGCTGCTGCTGCGCTGCCTCTCAACACAGTGCAAATGACTGCTGCTGCTGCAGCTGCTGCTGCGCTGCCTCTCAACACAGTGCAAATGACTGCTGCTGCTGCTGCTGCTGCTGCTGCTGCTGCTCCTGCTCCTGCTGCTGCATGGCTTGTTGCTGCTGCAGGCATAGCTGTGGGCCTCCAGACTTGCGCAGAGGTTAACTCCACCAGAGTCAACGCAAAACGAGGAAGCTGCTGATTCTGCTGCTGCTGCTGCTGTTTCCGCTGCTTGTGTTGCCGCGGCTGCTGCTTCGGTTGCTGCTGCTGCTGCTGCTGCTGCGGCTGCTGCGGCAGCTGTTGATTCCGTCCGTGCATCTGCTGCTGCTACATCCTGCAGGGGGATGTAGCAGCAAGCGGATTCCTTCTCCATCTTTGCTGCTAGCCGCGAGCAGCAGCAGCAGCAACAGCAACAGGAGCAGCAGCAGCAGCAGCAGCACAGGTATCAAGTGCTGCGCGTGCCGCTGCAGTAAAGTATAATGTGAGGCCTCGGGGCCCTAAATCAAACCCCCCATGGTCGTAGCTGCCTGTACACCCCGCAAGGTGTTGTCCCTGGCAGCTCTCACTCCTGCTGCTGCTGTTGCTGCTGCTGCTGCGGTTGCTGCTGCAGCTGAGCAGCTGCTGCTTCTCCTGTTGCTGCTGCTGGAGTAGCTGTTGCTGTGGTTGGTGCCCCTCCAAGAGACGCTGTCGCTGTGTCTTGTGCTGCTGCTGCTAGAGCAGTTGTTTCTTAGGTTGCTGCTGCTGCTGCTGAAACAGCTGATGCTGTGGCTGCTGCTGCTGCTGCCCCTCCTGCTGCTCCTGCTCTGCCTTCACAGGCTGGCGCGCGTGCGTTAACAGTGGACACGGTTTACGCTCTTCTGCTCATTGGGGATGAATGTATCGCTGCCTGCTGCTGCTGCTGCTGCTGCTGCTGCGCTCGTCTACTGCTGCTGTTGCTGCTGCTGCTGCTGCTGGCAGCAGAGGGAGTCTAAACAGATGTCTATGACTGCATGCAGCAAAGCCAGCGACTTCTGACTCAAAGGCAGTCAGCAATGCCAATGGCCGCTGCAGCAGCTGCAGCTGCAGCTGCTGATGTTGCTGCTGCTGCTGCTGCGGCTTGAGGAGCTGCAGCAGCTTGGTGAGTAGCAGCGTCTTTCTGCTGCTGCTGCTCGGATTAATTATGATATTCTTCCGCTTATTTATATTATTAAAAAGATTAAATTCATTTAAATGTTAAATTTAATAAATTTATTCAAGAAAAGAAGCCAAAAGACTACAAATACCGTACACACACACAATCCGGGGGCCCCTGCTGCTGCTGCTGCTGCTGCTGCTGCTGCTGCTGCTGCTGCGTGGGGCCCCACAGATGGATAAGACGGCAAAGAAGAACGAACTTTGCTGCAGCACACTAAATAAAAGGGTTTGAAATAGTAAATATTATATTAAATTTTATTTGTTTTAATTTAAATAGGGTTTGCATGCAGAAGAAATTAATTTGCTGCAGGCCTCTCAATATGTGTGTTTATTTATATTTGTTTATATTTGTTTATATCTCTGTATTAGACAAAAATATTTAAAAAGAAAACAAATAAATATATATTGAGATAAATGCATGCAATAAAAGAGCTGAGGATATCAGCAAACAAAGAATGAAAAAATAAACAGAGACACTTCCGGGGCTCTGCTATACACACCAAAGGAGACAGCCTATAATATATATATATATATATATATATATATACGTCTACATACTATGTATATATACATATACATATTTATATATATATATATATAAAGATGCATCGATCTATGCACATATAGATATATTCACATATATAAATGTATATATGCATGTATATATATATTATATATATATACATGTATATATATATATATATATATTATATATATATATATACAA